TAATTGATTTTGTCTATGTTGGTCAGTGAAACAAGCTTATCAAGATTATGACTCAACCATGTGCTAACCATAGTGGAATGTTATGAGACAGATTGGCGTACTGAAAGCATCATGGACTGATCCACTGGCATAGAGACAGGGAGACATGAAAGCAAGCAGGCAGTGAGCCATACGGGCAGGCCATCAGGCAGAAAAGACTGGCAGGAGGTAGGTGGTCCGGCTGGTGGGCAGCCAGGTGGGGATGTAAGTAAGTGGAAAGCAAGAGCGGCAGGCGAGGTGACACGTTGGTTACACTGACTCAAGTAGTCAGGCAGAGTGACAGGAGGTGAGACATGGAGACAGACAGACAGACCAACAGGCTGGGAATTGCTTGACTGTGCCCCTCGTCGTCCCCTGGGGTCCACTAAGGGCTGGAGCGGGTGGCATGTGGTATGTCACTGAAAGCCCCTGATGACAAGCAGAGAGGCAGTAACGGAATACTTTAAAAGAGACAGCTGAAGAGTGGAAAGTTTTTAATGGGATACAAAACTTTTTTTTTCTTCCTGTTTTAGATTTCATATTTTTATTTTTATTGTAATTAATTAATGTATTCTTTTATTATTTCAGGTTGCATTATATGAAATGCAACTTGTAATAAAATTATTAAAGTGAACATATTTACCTCAGTATTACCTGGTGAGAAAGAGAATTTATCTCATTTAATATTGCGACATTTAAGATTTATTCAGTAATTGACTCTTATTTCCACACTGTTTGTTTCCATTTTAAACATTCTTGCACTCATAAAATGCAGAATTTTGATATGAATAAGTTCTCTTTTAAAAAGTACATAAACTTAAATATTTTTTAAGTATTTTTTTCTTTTCTGTTTCCTCTTATAACATGTTATTCAACAAAATGGACATTTGTTATCTTCCTGGTCGCAACATCAACAGCAGTGACAACACTGTTATTCACTTCATGGTTTGGAAGCTGTTTGCTCTCTGTGAAGACAGTGTTGTCACTAATGTCTCTTTATTGTGTAGCGATGACCTCAAAAGGCCACAGATGTTCGGGCTGATTTTGATGTTTCTTGCTGCATTCACACAGCATAGTCACTTGTTTTCTTCCAAAGCTCTGCACACTTGACACATTTCACCAATCGACACAAACCCTCTCTCCTTCTGCTAGTGACCGCCACTTCTTGTGTTCATCAGAGCTGCAGAACTCAGTGTTCCCTTATTCATCAGTACAGTTCACAGTGGGAAGTTGTCAAATAACTTTTTTTTATGAAACAATAATTGAAATATTGTTTATTTCATTGCATTTTGCTTTCCTTGTGGATCTTTATTGTTCCGAGTGATTCAGGTCACTGAACTTGGTGCTACCAAAATTTGTTGTGGGTTGTGATTAAAAGTTGCGACAAACTTTGTTTCAATGGGAGGATTAAACACTGAGCTTGTTCCATTTTATTGATATTTTTAGCTTCCTCTTCACATAAAATAGGTCTGCAGAGTCCTTATAAATATGCTAACTTGTGACTCCGTTATCCCAGTTGCTTCATTCATTGTGCTATAAAATCCCACTTCATCAGGCAGATATTCATATTACAGTAAATGACAGAAACTAAAATTGACTTCCCTATTAATTCCTGATAATAAGATGGTGCCCCAACTTTGATTCAGTATAACTAACTTTACTAATAATTGCCTTGCCGTTTGTTAATCGCTCATCATACCTAAACCGAACCTGCTCACTTAACTTTCTTTCATCAATGACTTTGTACTTCTGACCTCCACTTCATAAAGTTCTTATCTGTACAGTGCATTGGAAGTTAATTATTTCTCAGTCAACAGATACCACACCTCAGCCGTGGGATTTTTGCAAATCCGACAGTTTCCTGGGTTCCTTTATGACTTATGTGATTAATGTTTGGCCTGTTTAATTGTAGATGGCTAGAGATCTCTTGGTGGGTTTGCAGTTGTGCCATACTTTTTTTTATAAACCTTTTCGTTTTATTAAGCGTAATATTGTGTGTGACCTTAGAAAGCTAAATAACATTTGCATTCCTTTAAAAGTGGCTTTAGTTCATTCAGAAATAAACTAAAGCCAGTTCTTGGTGAGATGCCTAAAGCTTGGAATATTAGTTTCTAAACCAAACATCTCTCAAGCTTTTCTGAAGTTTCATCTTTGCCTGTTTCTGTTTCTTTCTGTCAGTGATGATGATGTTTATTTGGTAATATTCTCCTACGAGCCTCTGACAGCTTCACAGAACCATATCTAAATTTAGATTCAATGAAACTCAAGATGGGCTCTAATTTCTTGACTAGTTGACATCTGAGAGCAACTGGTTGTACAGAATTTTGCTTAGAGGTGTCAAAATAAAAGGCGCAAAAACATATTAACGCCATATATGTAAACAAAAATAAAAGAGGTGCATTCTTTTGAGTCAGTATGACACTAATGGTCTGTGACTCATCATGCAAAACCCCGATACTGTTGTAACATTCAATGCGAATAAGTTAAAAGGATATTAATGCTTTTGCACAATTATTTTAGTTCATTCTAGTTCACCTGTTCCAAGACTGATCAAAAATATTCTTTCCTTTATTGACAGCTTATGATGAACACATTTTATTTTCCTCCACTTATGTGCTTTCAGTTTTTTCCATTTTTTTTTTTTTTTTACATAGGAGAAATGGCAGTTTGTGTGATATTTGTCAAGCACAGTGACATCAGTGTCCACTGTACATTCTGGCTGACAAACTCATTAGTCCTGATTTGTACTTTGTCAATTTCAAACAGCACTGAAGCACAAAGTCTTTGCAGCCTATGTCCTGTGACTGAATGAAGGGTTTAGCGTGGCCTTATGTCACCCAGTGAGACAGTAGTTGACAGACTGACGGAGTGAATGATGGCTTTTCATGAGGAGGAATGGCAGTTTTACAGACCACAAGCTGCTCCCAAACACTCCTCTGACCTTTCTGCACTGCATTGCCTGTTGAGTGGGTATGCAGGACGTGGATGTGTGTCTTCAAGTATTTATTGACTAAGTCCTATACATTTTTTTTCCTGAAGTAGCATATTGTAGGAAAGGAGATGATTTCACTTTAACCAAAATAAAAATTATTTTCAATCCTTTTACAAATCATTCATGGTCCCATACTATTTATTCACTGATATGTCTTTTTTTGTTTTTATTTGAGGGTCATATTGGTCACTGTATGTATTTAGTGAGATTCTCTGAGTTTTGAAAAGTCAAGGGTACAAGCGGTGTATTACAAGGAAAAGCCTTTTAAACATATTAGACCCTCAGAGGTCTATGGAATGGCATTTAAGGTTGCAACCACAGAGAACATTAATTTATGTCCTATATACCCTGCACATGATAATGTCTCCAGAGCTCAATCATTTAATCCACCATGACGCGTAAAATGACAAATCTCAGCAGGGATTACAAATAGGATATTTGCTCGCTTGCCTTATATCTCAGCAGATTAATTTCAGAAGTATTTAATACATTTAACAGGAAAACTGTGGTAGAAAAGTGTAGAGTTGACTGTTTCTGTCTAACTATCAAACTAATCTTTGTTCAAACAACAGGTTCTACACAAATGAAGCAAGTTGTTAGAATTTAATCATTACTGTAAGAAGTTGCATTTTTCTGGAATATAATTTTAATAAGTATTTACAAAAAGACATTTAGTCTGTGTTTTCTGAAAGAATTGGGATAGCATGGGGGATTTAATAAAATGGGTCTTTTTTCATTGTTTCTTAGAAGGCAAGAGGGGTATTTACAGCCCTGTTATTAGCCGATGTATGTAAGGTTTTGTAGTGTCTGCTACCACCATTCCACTTTACTCTAGAGATAACATTGGCCTGTTGATGAGCTATGCCTGGTTTCCTCCACACATGACACCTGGCATTTACTTAAGAGTTAAATCTGTGTGTCATCAGACTGGAGAATGTTGCATCCAGTGGTCTGAGCCCTCCAGGTGCCTTTTGACAAATATCCGGGAGGCCGCCATGCCAGGCTTTCATCTGTACACCATAAAGGCCTCACTGTTGGTTTGCTGAAGGAATGGTTGTCCTTTTGAAAGATTCTCATCTTTCAGAGGAACACTGGATTTCTGACCATGGAGTAACCATCATGGTTTTGGTCACCTCCCAATCGCTCAGTTTTGACACCCAGCCAGATCTAGGTAGAGTCCAGGAATTCCAAACTTATTCGATTTATGAATCATAGAAGCCAATGAGCTCACTCAGATCTTCATAGACGTGTGTTTGACTTTCCAAGTCCAGTTAAATCAACAGTTCACAATCACTGTGACAAAACGTGGAAAAGGTGAATTGTTTCAGGATGTGCTACAGTTTGAACTGGTTTAGTAACAGAGCTAATACTAAAGTCAAACCAGAAAATGTTTGATGTGATTGTCAGAAAAAAAGTTTATTTTGAATATATACAACTGAGCGTTATATTTAATAGTAACAAGTTGTTTTTCTTCTTTTTTTTGTGTTTCCCTTTAACAAAAACAGAAAACAAACAAAAAACTAGAGGAGTCTCTAAAATTAATTTTTGAAGTTATAGCTATTCAATATAACCTATAGGCCAAATTACAGCAATCTTAGTGTTAAAGTTGCAAGTCTAAACTCCGGTTGTGTATGTGGTACAGAAGCCTTGCTAAAGGTATCAACCAGAGATCCTGTAAGAAGATTACAATTCTCCGCTGCAATCACCCTCCGCTGAGTGAAGCTGCAAAAAAAAAAAAAAAAGTAGAAGAATCTTCCTGCTGACAAAGTGGGCTTGTGTCGCCCGCTAGAGGCGAGACCGGGGAAGACACGCAGACGGAATAAAAGGGAAGAAATGCTCCGTGATTTTGCAGTCCCTGCCCTGCCGGTTGTAGAGATTCGCGGCCACCTTCTTTGTCTTCTCAGCACGGGTGAGACGACCTCTCCCCAAATGTGGCTGTGTCCTGAGGAGGAAAAAAAGTAAAGGAGAAGAGAGAATGAGGGAGAAAGAGAAAATAACAATAATAAAAAAATAATAAAAAATGGGACTAAATCATTTTCATTCCAATAAAACAAGTATTTAAAATGATTATGCAGAGAGACACAAAGAAAGCAGGATGCGTCCTGCGTCCAGTCTGGGATCCACAGGTCTTATTTATTTCTCACTGACGCGCGCTCCCGCCGTCGCAGCCAGAGCGCTTCTCTCACTCTCCTCCCTTCACTTCACTTCCTTCCCTCCTCTCGACAGCATCCAGAACTATAGAGCAGCAGTTCCCCTTCACTCGTGTTGCTCCCCCCCTCCACTCTCTCCCTTCCTCCGTCTTTCTCTCACTGCCAGATCTCTCTCTCTCTCTCTCTGTCTCAATCTCTCTCTCTCTCTCTCTCTCCTCTCTGCTTCTCCCATCTCTTCGCAGAACCTCTCCCCAGCTCGGTCCGCCACTTTCTCTGACGCACGACGAGGGGGGTGGGGGGGAAGGAAAAAAACCAAGTCGAGGCCGATATGATCCACACGCCCGAACCGCCGCCGCTGCGCTGACGGAGACGCGCTCCTGAAGCCGCCAGGAGAAACACTCTCACCCGGTTGTTGAACGCTCGCCCGAGAGGCGGCTCAGGGGGAGGAGGAGGTGGTGCTGGAGGAGGGGGAGGAGGTGGTGGGAAGGGTGGAAAAGGAAGAGGATGGGCAGAAGTGGAGGACTTGCATTTTAAACAAACTGCTTAGGAAAAAAAAGAGAGGAGAGAGAGAGTCGGTATCACTGGAGAGCAAGAGAGATAGGGCGAGAGATCGCATTCTTATCACGTCTTCATTTCTTTTCTCTCCTCTCTTTCGGTTCAGCCACTAAGAGAGGGTGAGGAAAAGGGGGAGAGGAAGAGAGAGGAGAGAGAGAGAAAAACAGAGAAAGAGAGAGATAGAAGAAGAGGAAGAGAAGGGGAGAACGAGAGATTTACCAGATTCAAACTAGTGATCTTTTTTTTTCCCCGATGCTTTCCAATTGCTCAACGAAACTAAGGTGAGCAGTTATAGACTATTTCGTATGGATCATGGAAAGTATTTACCCGATATTTGTGAGTAGTATGTGAGTATGTGTGTGTGTGTGTGTGTGTGTTTCTGTGCTTCTATTGATGTCTGCATAGCCACGGACTTCAAACAGGGCGACAGCGAGCGAGGATAACTGAGAGCAGGAATCCATCCTACTAATCAATACCCGTTTTGTTCTTTGCTTCGGTCCCCAATTTTCCGGCCAATGTCACGACGAAAGCCTGCATTATGCTTGGCATGTATCTATTCCAACACGCGCTCTGCTGTCTTCCCTTCTTTTTTTGATTGAGGGTGGGTGGGTGGGTGGGTGTGTGTGGGGGGGGGGGGTGCGCCTTGGGTTGGCACCAAATCAGAGACCGTTCCTTGTAGACCGGAACTTGTTCAGCATAATTTCTTCTTTTTTTTTTTTCTTTTCCCACACTAACTCAGCGCGATGATGTCCGTTGAAAGGTTTATATCTTTTAATGGAAGCTGGTTGAAATTTGCCAATTCATGACACGCAGCACTACTTCTTCTGCTTTTTTTTTTTTAATTCATCCGGGGTTCATTCTTATGCGCATCTCCTCCTCCTCTCTCCCTCCTCAATGCCCCGCTGTCTCTGTCCATGTCCTCCTTTGTGTTTTCCCCGTTCAGGCGGCTCAGTCACCCCCTTCGTTTTCTCGTTCTCTCCCCCCTCCCTCGCAGCCCGGCAACGGACCGTGAGACGCGGGACGCACCGGGCAACGACGGGACCCATCACCGCAGGAGGAGGACATGTGAAGTTGGAATCCCTCTAAACTAAGTACGTATTCACCACTAGAGCCGATGCACCGCGAATGGAATTACGATGGTGCCAAATTTGCTCCGTGTCCTGAAATGTTTTTGATACTTTTTTTTTTTTTTTTTGACATCGCATCTGGCTTTTTGATCTCTATAAAACGGAGGCGGAATCAAATCCTGCTGGATTACTCGTGGCACAGGGAGACAACATGAAGCGAACATCGTGTAAAGAATTTTTTAATTTTTTAATTTTTTGCTTTTTTTATTTATTTTTCTTTTAGCTCGTATTTTTTGAGGGATTCCTGGGTTTTTCTTTTTCATTTCAATTGCCGGGATTTTGCATTCAGCACCACGGGCAGCGCTTTTGCCTGGGCCATATGCGCTCCTCTATCTTTTTGAGCTGAACAGCGCAGTGGATACATGAGTTTGCAATAATGGCAAAGATTTTCAGAAGCTTTGCGTGCGTGCAGGCGTGTGTGGGGGAGACAGAGAAAAATAAAGGCAGATAGAGGGACAATAACACGAGTGTCTGGCAGACACATTTTCTTTTTGTCCCCATGAGAGGAATAAAACATTTTTTAGATGAAATTGACACATTTCACCATTCTCACAATCACAACTGCTATTAGTTTTATTTTTGCCTCACAGCTGCGCTTTTCTAAGTGTCAGAATACCCCCTTGCTCTTTTTAAGTCTCAAATTGTCTTGAAAAGACTTGGTTCTACTAATGCAATGTAATTATGAGGTTTTCTTAAATTTGGACAGAGAAAAAAAAATAAGTGAAGCATTTTGTAGTAAAATGTGTCCTCTTGCATTTCATAGATTTAATTGGAGGTAAAACACGAGAGGCAAACTGCTTGGTCCCCTAATCTTTTGAAAATACACTACAATACAAAATGCAATTGCTCATTCAGTAGTAATGAATTAAATTTTTTTGTTGCATAAACCAGTGATTTTTACATGCAAGGCTAAAACATGCTTTTTTTATCAGCTTTGAATTAGTAACAGGGACATGTTCAGACTGAGCTTAGCACAATAGACAATTCTGTTGTACTATTTTGTTCCATGGTTTAAACTTTGATTGCTCATGGATTGGAGATTCTTGTTATGTATTAAACAAAGCAAGGGACAGAGTCTCCTCGACGGTACTCTTTTTTATCCGCTGTTGCCTTCGTTTATTCATAGCGATAAGCATCTCTGCTGTGATTTATTGCGACCTTACCAGCACATCTGCTGTATAATAAATGGCATTTCAGGCTACATAGTGAAGTGTCTGACTGCAGAGAGCCGTTTGTGCTCTCTGGTATCATATTATCTATTTAAGAGTATTGGGCTTTATATTTTGTTTTTAAAAAGACAGCAATATCGCCGAGTCTAAAGTGGTGTCCAGTGTCTTTCTATTATTCATAGGTATTCATTTCAAAGCTGCCGTCCATTCTACTGAAACTAATGCACTCTTTCCTGTATCTTTCTTTTCCTTTTCTGTCTCTGTCATCTCAAACTTCTCTTGGTTTCTATGTGTATATGTTCATGCATGTACGTGTGCATGTAAAGTGTGTGTGTGTGCGTGCGTGAAAGCATTAACCATAAGCCTTCCCTTTTCTTGCGATCTCATCTTTCCTGGAATTCTCTGTTGCAGTGCTGTGAAGTGGCTCTGTCCCTGGAGCTGAAACTTCATTGCCGTGGTGTCAGCGAGGATGCTGTGGGTTACCTTGCTGAGCACCATAGCCTTAGGATGGACCACACCAATCCCACTGCTGGAGGACTCGGAGGAGATCGACGAGCCCTGCTTTGAACCGTGCGACTGCGAGGTCAAGGAAGGAATCTTCCATGTCCATTGTGACAGTAAAGGATTTACAAATGTCAGCCAGATCTCTCAAATTTGGAGCCGACCCTTCAAGCTCAACCTGCAGAGGAACTTAATGAGGAAGCTCTACTTCAACAGTTTCCTCCATCTTAACAATGCTATATCCATCAATCTGGGTAATAACGCCTTGCAAGATATACATGCTGGGGCATTCAATGGTTTGGGAATACTTAAACGACTGTTTCTCCATGAAAACAAACTAGAAGTTTTCAGAAACGACACATTTCTGGGGTTGGAGAGTCTAGAATATCTCCAAGCAGATTATAATGTTATTAAAAGGATTGAAAGTGGTGCATTCAGGCACCTTCACAAATTAAGAGTACTTATATTAAATGACAATCTCATACCCATGCTGCCGAATTACCTTTTTCGGTCTGTGTCCCTAACACATTTGGACTTGAGAGGTAACAGACTAAAGACATTGCAGTATAAAGGCACACTGGAGTATGTTGGGCGGAGCTTGATGGAAATCCAGCTTGAGGAAAACCCTTGGAACTGTGTGTGTGAGATTGTCCAGTTAAAAACGTGGCTAGAGCGAATCCCTTACACAGCTTTGGTGGGAGAGATCACATGTGAGACCCCGTTCCACCTACATGGAAAAGACCTGCGGGAAATTAAACGCAGCGAGCTCTGTCCTCTTCTCACCAATGCAGAGATTGAGGCCAAGCTGGGAATTCCTCGGGTGCCATTCAGCAATGAGAACACTTGGCCTACTAAACCTTCCTCCATGCTCTCGCCCTTTCACAACACAGCCTCTTCTGTGGAGTACAAGGACAGACCTGCAAAGCCTACCAAGAAGCCTACCAGACGGCCCACAAAGAATCCACCAACTCCTCGTAGCATTTACCCAGGCCTCAACCAGCCCCCCATTGCTGGCTACCAAACAAGACCACCCATTCCAATAATCTGTCCAGCTAATTGTATTTGTAATCTTCACATCAATGACCTTGGGTTAACAGTAAACTGTAAAGACAAAGGCTTTCACAACATTTCAGAGCTTCTGCCTCGACCCCTTAATGCCAAGAAATTGTATCTTAGTGGGAACCTGATACAGAAGATCTATCGTTCAGATTTCTGGAACTTCTCAAGTTTGGATTTACTACATTTAGGGAACAATCAGATATCCTATGTCCAGGAGGGTGCATTTATCAACTTGCCAAACTTAAAAAGTTTATATTTGAATGGTAATGACATTGAGCGGCTCTCTCCTGGTATGTTTCGTGGACTTCAGATGTTGAGCTATCTTTACTTTGAATACAATGTCATCCGTGAGATCCAGTCTCATTCTTTCTCCCTAATGCCCAATCTGCAATTGGTTTTCCTCAATAATAATCTGTTGAGGTCATTACCCAATGATGCCTTTGCTGGCACCAACCTTGCACGTCTTAATCTTCGCAGAAATCACTTTGTTTCCCTGCCAGTTCATGGTGTCCTGGAGCATCTGACTTCCATCGTCCAGATCGATCTCCATCAGAATCCCTGGGATTGCTCATGTGATATCATCCCTCTCAAACAATGGCTGGAAAAGCTGTCCTCGGTCATTGTGGTGGGGGAAGTCACCTGCAACACACCAGAGTATGCTTTTGGAAAGGACCTGCGTTCGCTTGAGGTTGAGGTCATCTGTCCTGAGCTGAAGTATTCTTCAGGTCCCTCTCCAGCTCTGCCTGGTGGGGATGACCTCACCACAGGGAGCTCTGAAATGGGGGAATCAAGTAGGAGAGGGGCTGTTCCACTGTCGGTTCTCATCCTCAGTCTGCTCATCCTCTTCATTTCAGCAGTGTTTGTTACTGCTGGGCTCTTTGCCTTTGTCCTCCGTCGCAGAAAGAAGCTACCTTTCCGGAAACGTTCTGAGGTGGACTTGACTGGAATCCAGATGCAATGCAGGATTTTTGAGGATCCGCCAAGGCAAAGCTGTGCCGGCAACCCTGGCACGCCGGAGAAACCAACACCCAGTTTGCACACACATTCGCACACTACTCACACACATGGACATGGCCACGTTTATGATTACATCCCGCACCCTGTGACTCAAATGTGTAACAACCCTATCTATAAGCCAAGAGAAGGAGAGATTGCTGAGGAGGAGATGGCACAGTTTGCAGAAAAGAAAGACAATGGCAGCAGTAGCAACAGTAACTATAGAACCTTGTTGGAGAAAGAGAGAGAGTGGACCTTGGCGGTCTCCAACTCTCAGCTAAACACTATTGTTACGGTCAACCACACCACAGCGGACATTTCAGGATTTCATGAGAATGGAGGGCTCTGCCCCACAGTGATTGACAGTCAGAGGCCCACACCAACAGTGGGCTTTGTAGACTGTTTGTATGGGACAGTGCCCAAATTAAAGGACATGCATGTTGCACATGCGCATCCACCAGGCATGCAGTATCCAGATTTGCAGCAGGACGCACGGCTGAAGGAGACGTTGCTTTTCACAGCTGGGAAAGGCTGCTACCCTGATCCCTCCCAAAGTGATTACCTCGAGTTAAGGGCCAAACTTCAAACCAAGCCAGATTACCTCGAAGTCTTGGAAAAATCCTACCGTTTTTAATAACTTTGTAGCCCGATAGAAGAGAACAACAAAAAAACCCAACATGATCTTGTCATTTTCACTATGCCACCTTACAGACAAAATTACGTAGACCAATCTTAAAGCAAAATTTGATAAAACAGCATGAATTAAAATAAATATGTATAATTATACAGTCACAATGCCCCCACTCCCACTTAAAATCACCTTCGAGGAGAGATCATTCTCAGATGTTTAAATTAAGTGCCTTTTTTTCAGAGTAGCCAGCAACGTCAACCGTTATTTTTATAATATATAAATATCTCTATATGCCCTGAAGAAAGCAAAGGAGAAAAAAAAATGGGGCTCTGGGAAATAAAACACATGAACCATGTTACATCTGTCACTAAAATCCATTTGTATGGAGCTAACATGATGTTCTACTAGTTACCATGAGGACAAACGGGAGCTGGACGTCTCCCTTACTTTTTTTTTTCTTTTTTTTTCCCTCTCTCTTATTACTCAACTAGGATGTACAAACACCTGGAATCTGTGCACATTTTTTTCTTTGTAGGACATTATCAAAAGAGTTAAAAAAAAATACTTATATTCAAACTGAACCGCAGTTTGCTGCATGCACTCGCTTCAGTGCAGGAAGTGAGAGGATTTACTCAGAACTATCACGTCACTGTATGAACAGAGATACCGCAACACATCTATGGTTCAGTGTTCTATTTAATTTTTTATATCTTATTAATATGGTTATTACTATAAATGAAGACATATGTCTATATCAGGGTGCTTCTTGTAAAGAAAAGGAAGCGCCGATACAGAGATGGTAAAACATTTGTGAATATTATTACGAGACCATACTGAAGGGTTTTCTGAATATTTCCACACTCTTTGTTATGGCCCCACTCCCTCTTCCCTTCTCATTGCTTCTGGAGTTCCCATTGCAATCCACTAACAGCTTTGTAGTAAGCACTTTTAATGTTTTCTCTTTCACAAAGATTTGAAGAAAAGATGTGCATATATTTATTCTGTAATTTCAGTGAAGAATTTTATTGTAAAGATAATGTTAAATCAATGTATAGTGATTATGCGTCTGGTATAGCCTTCTTAATAAAATCAAACTCTTTAATCTAATTGATGAAGGTGTCGATACCAATTCCAGTGGAACATGTGTGGAGTGGAATAACAGGGTGTGTATCAGGTGTAGGACGTGGTCAGCCATTAGCTGTTACTGGACTCAAAAAGCATGCTAGACCGAGAAGCAGTGCAAGGTATGATAATGCAAACTTATTAGTATTCATATAATGGGATTTTCAACCTATCTAAACTACATGGAAAGCATAAAGACAGGGTGCTTATGTTTTCTTCTTTTTTAACAGAGGGAGTCATTTTCATATTTTTAATGCACAGTTTGACTTTATTTTGTCCAGCACATTGCAGAGTTTAGCCACATTTAATCTAAAACCAAAGTAAAACATGACCCAGGAAAAGTAGAGTAAATGCTGCTGCCTCTGGAAGAAGATATCTTAAAAAGTAAAAGGGAAATCAGTGATTTGATCAGACAGCTACAGCTGTCGCTATCTGAACATGTATCACTGATGTATGCAAGTGAAATGTGAGTGATATCATAATTGGAAAATACTTTTGTAATTTATACATTTCATTATTTGGCTCTTTCATCAAGTTGGCTATGTGCTTTCACTCCACTGGAGGGCGATAAGTGTTCTGCCATTGCAGAAATGTTGTCATTATATAAGCTAGATTGGGTTTAGCTGACAGATACACACACACACCCACACACACGCACGCACACACACGCATGCACACATGCATATTCACACATGTACACATGTGACTAAATCATGAAGATATCTTATTAGACTATTAACTCTACAATATGAATTGAATATGTAATTTACTTTCAGCAATCATAATTTTATGTGATTTTTAATTGTATACCACAGGCTCCTTTCTTAGCCTCCTCCATTCTACAAACAATGAAAAGGAAATTTTAAACAAAGGCTGAGGGTTCTGTCAACTATAAATTAATTTGCTGTGGAAGTCAATATTTTCAAACAATAGACTCTTTTGTTTCTTATAGTAATATTTTTTGGGGAGAGATGTGAAGCAGTCCTGTCAAACTTGTAAGTACAGTGAATCTAAGACGTTTACATATCCATGTTAAAATGCCGGTGTTTGATGATGAAACCACTGAGACCAATACAAATTCTTTGAGAATTTTTTCCACCCTTAATGTGACCTTTAACCTATATAACCTGACATTATTACAAAACTGTTTATTTTAGTGAGAATGAATATCCCACAGCAAATGTTTATTTGGAAATATTTGGTTTTCCATTGCAATGCTCTAGACTTGTTCGACTGTGAAGGCATCTCTTCTGTTCAGCCTACTGTAACCACCCTATAGATTTCCAATCAAAATGAGGTCTAAGGTGTTGGTAGACTATATTGTGAAAAAAAGTTATTTGCTTCTGGAGAAGTCATTATTTTGTGGATTATGAAATGCACTGTGAGTTGGTGTGCTGAAAGCTGAATTCAGTTTTCTGGTAGAAAACTGAATTCAGCTATGAAAACATTGAAAGTCAGTCTCACAGTATGATGTTGATGCCACTGTGCTTCAGTTTTATGTATCATATTCTTTTGGTGATGTGTAATGTCGTTTTCTCCCTAAACAAACATTTTGGGATTATGGTTCTGAAACTCATCACTGGTTTAATAAGATTATAACACATTTTCCCATGTATTTTTAACAGATTAGGCTAGAAGGCTTTTCTTTACATGAAGATGCTTAATTTTTTTTCTATCTTACCGTTGTAATCCAGGCCCAGATAAATGGAGATTACTATCAGTACTTGTCAGAAGTTCATGCAGCTCCTCTTGGCAGCCTCCCTGACCAATTTTCACTGTAATATCATCACCTTTGAAGGAAAATCTAATTCTTGATAATGACAATGTTGGGAGATATTTTCTACACCTGATGTGTAGTATACATAATGCCGTATAAAGTATTTTGTGCACATCCCCTAATTGGCACGTTTTGACAAAGAGATCCCTCTGACGCCTTTGAAACTCTGCAGATTATTGTGCTTGCTCTGAGATGCAACACAGAAAATGTCGGGAAAAGCTTACAAGGATGACTGAATTTATGCCATGGTTATAAGAGGCACTCTAAACGGTGACAGGTGTGTACTGATACCTATTTAAGATGATTAGATAGGGTATAAAAATATATATTATATAGGGTATAGGGTTGCCAGCCAGATCCCCACATATGAGAGGTTGCCCACACTTTCATTTGAGTTGCATGTGAAATAGGTTACATGAAAGCTTTAAAATGTTCTCAAACAATTGATCTGGGTCTCAGTTGTTTTGGATCACAGAAACATAATCGATATTTTACACTAAGGTATACAGACACCTTCACTGTGTGTGAATTGGGAGACTGATTCTGATTTTGTTTAATCCCTTTGCTTTGATTTCAATGAATTAAGTAAGTGATGCTTAGGTGGAATACAGTGTTATATTGCCTAATATATGTCAATATAACACAAACTAAAATGTAGCAAACCAAATTTTATTTTCTAAAACATGTTGAGGTATTGATGTTGAGTCATCTCCGGTATCGGTTATCAGTGATTCAGTCTACAAGCTTGCATTAAATTGAGCATTTTATCTCATGTTGCCTTCATTGTTCATTTATTTTTTGGCAAGTGTTGCTGATCAGACAAACAAATGACACATTCATATAAGTTCTTCAGAAGTTTGGCTGTATTATGTCAAGCCTCTTTTGTCTTTATTGCTTTTAGAGGATGTTACAGTGCTGAAATGTGATAATCTGCTCCACCTAATTTATCTTCTTCTTTTTCTGCACTTGTACACATTCACACTCAGAAAACACACAAAACCTTAGTTTCCACAAATACAAGGTCAGATTGTACCATAAAGAGTTTTAATGTGCACTCAGTTTGATTAAAAGCATGATGTATTACTCTGTTAACCTAAAACCTTACAACCTCCAACCCACTCTAAAATTAACAGATAAATAAAAACATTGCAATTGTTAATGATTTTATTACCTCTTTACTTTCCCCATTGTTCAGTCAATGTATGATTAGACAGATGAGCGTTGTGCTTTCCTCCAGGACTTTTTCATGTGTTCTTGTCATTCTGCTTGAACATCTGTTGGCCACTTGGCTGTGAAGGTTGCTAATATTTCTTCGAGAATAAGATAATTCTATGATATAAATCCATGAGTAAGAACACTTCCCGTCATGTGCTGAGGTTTCAAAAATAAGCTCAGTGCGAAGCTAGTAATTTCACTCTGGATCATGAGTCCAAAGTGTGCAGATGTGGTGGAATTCGAGTTATTTTTCACTTAATAAATTGGTGGTTCATTTCTTGAGATTCTATTTGACCCAACATTTTTCTATAGCAGTTTCTTAAGAAAAAGCATATATACAATTTCCTATGTCGATATTATCCAAGGTGAAATAGCACTCAGGTTTTTAACTGCCTGCTCTCTTCACTTGCCGTAATTTTTTAATTTAATTATTTTGCAGTGGATTTTTTATGTCAGCAATGCACGCTTATTAACACAGCTGTCTTGATGTTTATTTCTATATCTGCCGTGTGACATGACATTGCCATGATACTGCTGCTGTTAATTCTTCAGGAGATATGAGATACCATAATCCTATTAGAAGAGTGTCAGCAGGCTTCTGTGACAACTCTGAACTCAAGACAGCCATTAATTGTCTGTAACTGTGCTGGGTAATATTTGGAGTAAAATTGATAATGGGGCAATCTAAAAGTGGGATCTTTTTTCAGACTTGGTGTGGTGTGATGTTTCCTCCTTCTCTCTACTTACCTCTTCTTACTTACCTTATGATGTGTTGTGGCCTCTGGTTTTTTGGGTAGTATTTGTCTGCACTGCACATTGGAGGAAACATGCTGTCAATGTGGATCTGTGTGCATTTATGTGCACTTACGTCTGTCTGCATGTCACTGAATGTATGAAGTTATCATCTGCTGCATAGATTGTTTGCTGATTTGTTTTGTGGTTATTTGAGTTAAATTTGGTTTAGGCTTTGATTTGGAATTGGAGCCCATTATAAATGGAGAGGATTGACAAGAGGAATTCTGTTTTCTAAGAGCAGCACTGATAATTTAGGCAAGCAAAGACCAACAGCTTAGGAAGGTGTGACAGAACGTTGAGTCAACAGAAGGAGGTTCTGAAAACAGTGCCTTATAAAGAAAATGAGCACATGTTTAGTCATCTAAAAATGCGAGTGTAATGAAAAGACAAAAGAGTAGGAGGAGACAAAGAGACACTTGGTAGCATTTTGTGTGTGTGGTACAAATTTCCTTCATTGTAGTGAAATGCAACATTATCTTTAGTTTGGTTAAAAAAAGCCAATCAGCCTCTAACCACTGTGCTGAGTTGCAGTGTGATGCAAATGCTACATACAAAAAGGTAGAGTAGTGTGCCGTAGTAGATATTGTGTGATCCAGAGAATCTTTCTTTGCTTGTATTTTTATCTGGCAGCTAATATGCTTATGCCGATGGGTTATGTGTTGCTTGTTATGTAGCTCCATCAGATCTGATCAGTCATCCTGTCCCTGGTAGAGAAAACAATATCATTACTGTATGATGCGGCCATTGCCATCTTTTACAGGAAATAGTGTGTCCCGAATTATGAGCAATGTTAGTTATCTGCCACATTGTGTGTTACAAAGATCTTAGTCCCATTCTGGTATAACCTGATGAGAGCACCTACTTCTGCAATTTTTGTGCCTTTTACAAATGCAGCTTTTTATGCCTGTTGTTCAACCATTGTTTTCCTCTTGCAAGAAAATCATATTTTATTTTATTTTATTTTTTTTTGCATGGTACTTTTCCAAAGTTATGGGTCCCTCAACTCCTTCTGAGTTACTTTAGGGATCTGTGTTGCTTCTATTCATAATGTTCTTGTCACCAAGACTGTTAGATTGAGTGGATGAGAGCTGCCCTTTACTTCTACTTGACTCATGACTGAACCGTCCTCTTCGACATGTGCAACACATGGGAAAACATAACCTGAAACTCCTTTAAACTTCTTACTAGCTTCTTTCTTGACCTGCTGTTGTCTTCAAGATGCTGTTTCTTTTACGAACCTCTGAGCTTTCGCAGTAAAGCTTTATCTTGAAGACGAGTAAATCAAACACAAATGAATTGGATTTACTAATTAGGTAACTTCTAAAGGCAAGTGGTTAAAATGGAATGTATTTCAGGGGATTGTAGCAAAGAGGCCTGAAGACTAATATATGCAGAACTTTTCAGATTTTTATTTGTAAAAACCATAAATAATAATACAAATTTGTAATATTGTTCCATTTCACAGTTATGCACTATTTGTGCTTGATTGTTTTATTTATCAACACTTGAATTCCATCGATATACCCAGATGTTTCCTAGCAGTAATGTGACAAAGTGTCAAAAAGTTAACTTCAAGTTCACAGTTCAAAAAGGGTTATTTCAGTTTGTTTAATGAAGGACAGGGCATGTTAAAACAATGCAACTATTTTTTTGTAGAGTGGTTGTACAAAACAGACCACTGTTTTGTACAACAGAGGCTGTGGATATGTTTGCAAGGTACTGTTTTAAAATAGAAGATTTTGGTAAGCTATATTTTCTTTTTATTTTTTTATCACCATGTGAAAGCTTTATTGTATGTTACTCAGAAGGAGAAGTTAAAGGCATAGGACCACCCCTATAGATGCAGTTTCTTATGTCCTGAAATTAAGAAGAAAAACTCTTTCACACTGCAGTGCAGGAGCTCAACTGACCCAGTATGCTGAAAGAGAGAGCGACAGAGAGAGAAAGAGAGAGAGATGGAGGAGAGAAAAGAAATGGATGCAGAAAGCAGTAGAGTGAAAAAGAGGGAAACGGGGTGATTCTCTCAGCCCCGTGCTACCTCTGCTACCATGTGCGCAATAAAGCTCTGCAGTCGTATTGTTTGCCTTGTGAGTTTAGGCTCCCTTGAGATTCTGGTTCTCTCCCCTGTCTGGAAAAAAATACTGCAAGTTTGGGGAAAGTAGGAGTCGTTTGTGCTGCTCAGCAGTGTACTGTAGCCGCAGCTCTCGTGCATAAAACAGATTAAGAAATTTATGTCCTTATCACTCTTTCCAGGGAGAGACGCAAAAGAGAACAGGAAGCATAAATTTATTTAAAAAAAAGAATATGGAGCATGGTGTCCCTAGCTAGTGTTAGGAACAGTCCATTTCTCTTGGTTCCGCAGTGTGGGGCCTACTTTGTGCTTTTAAATGGCTTGCAGTGAAATTCTATGATCTACTGCAGGAGATCTCTTCTCCTATCCCTCCTCTTTCTAATGAAGTGATATTTGCGCACTCACTCATCTTCATAGCCGAAGATGCCACGTGATGCAAAAATTTGCACTTGAGTTAAATCCCATTGAAACATTTTGAGGTTTTCTATGCCCATTTGCAGTGTTGTGAAATTGTTTACACCTTTATCAAATTCCTCAATTTTTTGCATTTTGTTACGCCTAATTGTTTCAAATCATCAAACAACTTTTAATGTCAAACATTAAATGACTTGACGAAATGCAAAATGCAGTTTTCAAATTACGATTGAGTTTATTAAGCTCTGTAGATTTACCTGAAGCCTATATAGAAATGGCTTCAAGTATTTCTACCTGAAGCCATTTCAGGTAGAAATGGCGTCTACCTGAAATGGTAGAAGCCATATCAGATAGAAGCTGATTTTCTCTAAACAGCTGGTCAAATGTGGCAGCAAAAAATCTTTTGTCATCTGTTTACATTTAGTCTTCTTGCATGTCTGTGTGGATGAAGAACCTGTTTAAGTTCATTTTACTGCATCTCAATCAGAATGGACTTTGGAAAATCTCCTCAAAAACATTGATTTTCCTATGAACAATTTCATTCAGGATTTTCTGCTAGAGAACAGTTCCATCATGACTCAATCAATTGCGTAAAGTTATCCAGATCCTAAAGCAGCAACGAGGACTGAGAACGTCACTTCATCACCTCTTTGTTTGGCTGTTGGTATGCTTTTGATTTTCTGGAATGCTGTATTATTTTAATCCAGAAAATGTTCGATTTTATTATATATTTTCATAACCTTCTTGTGGATCTTTAAGATTGTTTTTGGGAAATATTAGAAAAGGCCTTTTTGCTTTTTTTGGTAGACTTTAGCTTTATGGATGTCACTTTAACCCGGTCTCTTTCTCAACAAACTGAACCCTGACCTTAACTGAGGCACATGAAGTATTCTGATTCGTCTTGATGGAGATGGTGCTTTGCACCTAGATCATGTTTGTGGGCTTGCAAAGTCGAAACAGCGTCATAATCCTTCCAGACTGATAGATGTCTAAATTTGGGATTGGTCTGTCTCGGTATTTGAGATGTGTTAGTGGTTGTCATGTTGTCAGAGAAGGTCTAATTACATGGCAATATTATGTTTTCTAGTATTGTCATTCTGGCTGTTATAAAGCTTAGGTGCGGCTACTAAAATGAATTCAGCTTTCCAATCGCACTTAATTCATAGTTTAATAAGAAGACACTATTACTTTTTCATACAACGCCTTTTAGATTTACGGAACAATTAATCTTATTGAATGAAATTTTAATTTTATGTGAAACCATGCATAGCCATACA